TCTCTCTCTCTACGTTTCATTGGTATTTCCCAACATTTCTGAAATAGGAAATAACTGACTCGATGATTCATTTCCCGGTAAATTCTTCAAGTTCAAGACTGTAACTCTGGAAAACTACAACCATTTCAGTGTATTGAATAAAGTCGGAAGTTTAGTAGCAATATTTTAACAGTAACAACAAATTTATTTGAATTTTGTTATTTCGAACGTCGTCTTAGATCAGTTTCAGAATCTTCGTTTATTTATTTACAAAGAAATAAACAGCGTAGAAATGCTATACAATTGTGCAATACAGGAATGATCAAGGATTAGTCAACTGAAAGGCTATACCAACTGCAATGACTGGACATTAACTCTTGCCACTCTTGAAGATAAAACCAACATTTTTATTTCACGTGAGCAATCCTATATGAATTAGTAACTGCACTTCTTACTGCCCACTAGAGGGGGTCATTTACCAACATTACTCAGAAGACGAGCAGAAACTTCTGTAGGAAGGCATTAGCAAAAATAAAACGTTTAGAACTCATGTTCATTAATGTTGCTCTATGCATGTCTATTTTCCGGTCTATCTTCATATTTGGACAAAGATTGTAGAGAGCTCTGTTGAAAAAACCAGCATATGCTGGTTAGGTATGTTTTGACGCCGGGATGCTGGTTTAAGCTGGTCCTTTGCTGGTTTGTGCTGGTTTATGCTGGTCCTTTGCTGGTTTAAACTGGTCCTTTGTTGGTTTATGCTGGTCCTTTTGCTGGTTTATGCTGGTCATGTGCTGGCAAAGGACCAGCAAAAGGACCAGCATAAACCAGCAAAGGACCAGCATAAACCAGCAAAGGAGAGAGGACGAAACAAGATAGGCTACTATAGGCTAGATGAAATTTGCTCCACGTTATGTTAAAATATAGCATTTATTGTCTTCAAACAACAACATTCAGCAATACTGACATTCATGACTTCAAACTTGTGCAAGGTAAGTTTCAGTCTTTCTGACATTGTCCAAGTCTAATATATTTATGTTTACATACAAAATCAAATATTTACTATTGTGTAGCCTAGGCTACTATTTACATTTCAGTTCGCATGGCGTCTGACTTTAAGTGTCTCTTTTTATATATCTACTTGGGAATGTCTGTAGGCTGTGTTTTTCAATGATCACCTGTTGAAAATCGAAGATTTCATCGTGGCCTTTGTCCACATCGTAATGGTGCATTTTACTAAGACGTCTCATTATGCAGTGAGCGAGGCAGACCAGTAAAAGAATACAAACAACCATGCAAAACATTATTACTAAAAGACTGCCAGCTGAGATGGACACTGGCTTGTCTGTTGGAGATCTGCTCGTAGGAATAAAAATATCAAAAGGCGTTGAGCTGCCCGAACCCTCGAAGTCTTCTCTCATACATCTGGTGCTGTCTTTAAGCACGTATCCTTCATCGCAAGAACATTGAAATCCTCCAGGTGTATTTTCACATGCATGGTCACAGTAACCACTATCGCATTCATCTATGTCAAGGCAAGATTGCTCTTCAACTAGGAAACCATCGGGGCAGCTGCACTGGGCGTTGTTGTTGGGATCACATTCCGCTGGGCAGATGTTTTTCTCACAGTGCATTTTACATTTGTGCATGTCCTCCATCGACTGAATAAATCCCTCAAAGCACTCACAGTGATAGCTACCGTCAGTGTTGATGCAGTAGTGCTCGCACGGCGCAGACTCGCATTTGTCGTCATCAACGCAAACGCCACCTTCAATGTGAAAGCCGGGTTTGCATTCTTCGCAAGACTTGCCATCTGCACTTAGTTGAAACCCCGGGCGACACGTGCAAGCTAATGCATCGCCGGCTCGCGTGCATTTGTGTTCACATTCAGCGCAAGGGTCATCGTCCTGTTTGTTGCAAGCGACTCCGTTGGTGTCGAGTTCGAACCCAGGCTGACAGATGCAGGCGTAGCTTTGCCCTTTCTGAATGCACTTATAATCGCATCCACCAACAAAAACTTCACAACTCCAAGGTGCATTATGCCACTCGCCTTCGAAGCAAATGTGTCTCGTTCTCAGCGGCTGCAGTGTCCCATTGGTGAATTGAGGAATCTCTTTGAGTTCTTCCTTTGCTGTAAATCCGAAGTGAGTTTGATATGAGACTGGTGCGTGGATGCTAAGCGGCAGACAGTAACCGGGGTTGTCGTATTCGCACAAATAACCTTCGATTCTGTCATTGCATGGTCTTTCGGTCCATTTGAGAACTTTTTGTGATACAGAAACACATAGTGGAGAACAAACCCTCAAGTCGCTTTTCCAGTTGACGTATTGGGTTTTGTTGTCTCCAGTGACCCATCTGTATCCCTTCAATCCATCGTTTGAGTTTGAACACTGATCGCCGGCGTATTTCAGCCCAAGCCAAAAGTCTCCAGAAGCGCCGTTTAACAACCCCCCGAGACCATCGGCCGCGTTTTCGGTGCGCACGGTCATCAGATGTCCTCCTTTCTCTTGACAGACGAGCTGGGCAGCGTCAAAACTCGCACTGTCTACGTGGAAGACGAAGCATTTTCCATCCACACAATAGCCGTCATTGATGTTTTCCCCTCGAACCCTCAGAACAACGAGCACCAGCGCCAATCCTATGATGTCTCTCATCTCTGCTGGCGCGTTATGTAACGGTCTTCACGAAGTTACGGAGAAATGACCAGCGTGTTGATAGCACGTTCATGAGTTCGAGGTGTGCCGTGCCGCATTTATAATGACATCCATGTCTCTAAAAATGAAAGGAAGTTCGTGTTATCTGGCAGAGATCCCGCGACGCCACTAACTGTGCTTCTCTCTCTCCCTCTCTCTCTTTTCCTAACCCTGCTGGCGCGCATGGGTTTGGACACAAGATATTCATCTCGAGGATTTAATTTCCAAATTAGTTACCTCGAATAGATGTTCCCTTTTCGCGTAGCTATGTTTTGGTAAAGCTATACCCCTCCTAAAATAGATAGATAGATAGATAGATTAAATAAATTTTCCCCCATTTAATTTTTTCAAGTAGGCTATTTTTAAAAAGTTGGTGAAACAATTTTCACTCAAAATTGATAAATTTCACAAATGATATAAAGATACGGCAAGTAACACATGGAATTAGGCTAAATGCAGAGGCGGACAGTAACTAAGTACATTTACTTGAGTATTGTACTTAAGTACACTTTTTGAGTGTCTGTACTTTACTTGAGTATTTTTTTTTTTCTGGAAACTTATGACTTTACTTCACTACATTTGAAAGACCAAATATTGTACTTTTCACTCCACTACATTTCTATCAAGATCCTCGAAGTAGAAAGTCGTTA